AAATAAGCACATTGTATACTATAGAATTAACATTGATACACCGTAGTTGTTTTATAAAGAAGTGAGACCGTACCAAAGGGCTGAGGTTGGAGTACCGTTGCATGCTTTCTCTGAAGGGACCAGGCGGAACGCTTGACCATCACTCTACATATTTTGCACCACCTCTGTATTTTACAGGGCTTCGTGGTCGAAAGTACACCTTTTTCTAAGATGATTTTTTTTCCAAATTATTTTTCAAGTAACCCATCACAAAACAGCTACATCGTTGCAATGCGGCATTTAATGCCATTAGAAACAAATTTATAAGGGATTTTTTAGATAGGACAACTCTTCACCATCTTTACAGCTAACTTCACCTATTTATCTCTATTCCAGGTCTTCACATTCAAGTTTATGCTTGCTCGCATCTTCGTTCGCCACCCATCAAACGCTTTCTTGCCTATCATTATGCCTCCCGCTTAGCTAGCAAGGCGCCAATCCTAGCGAATCCACTTTCATCATCAGCGATAACGATACAAGGGTTATAAACTTATAATCGCTGAAAAGGTAAAAGCCACCTACTTGATAACCAGCTTCCTTTTCTCTCTCTTCTTTCTCCACCGAATATACTATACCACGCGTGTGATTCTTAACACAACAGCGCTCAATCGGAGCGTTGCGATTCATCTACAAGTCAAAGACGACGACGACGCTGATTCTGAGTTGTGCGAGCGGCTCTTACGCACCCGCGTTGCTAGATGGCTCTAATCATTGCTCCATGAAGGGCTTTCACACATCGACTTACTTCAGAGTTACTTCTTTGTAGTAGGCCGTGAATCCACCGAATAAGGCCAACATGCCCAATGCTCTTCAGAGAGTTTATCCAGGAATAGGTCAAGAAGCTAATGCATGCGCCGTTAGTATTGTAAGGTATCCATGGAAGATGTACTTAACATTATAAGCAGGCGGGTACCGGGTAACGGAAACTTAGATCCGACGGAATAGTTCCAAGCTCCAGGTTCCAGGCCAGACAGACCATGCCGTTAATCACATGCACATCGTGCAATGTCATGGTTGCTGTGTGCTACAAGTTTGGAGCATCTCGTACCCGCTGTCAGACAAAGGCTAGAGTTATATTGTGACGTGGCAAGTTTTCAAAGTTTCACGCCCTTCCCCCTACTTAAACTCACTTTGCCTTATCTCCTTATTTTCCATTCCCGCTTAGCGACGCCAGCTCTGTTGGAGCATTATACAGTAATTAAATCCTCATCAGTAGACACGTTTGCGCACCGTCCAGTTTTCCTTTCAGGAGGAACGGAGAGCCGCCGCGGTTCCGGTCCTTACTGAGATGTGGGGCTATGGTGCTATACTGCAGACCGACTGTGTGGCCGTAGTCGGAAAAGCTTTGCCTCGGGTGTAGCGCAGAGGGTACTTTCGCTGCATACAACAGCCACGCACGTTCCCTGTTCCCCTTATTCCGATGCTATCCCATTCTGTTCTTACCCACTCTTTTCGCTGCCAGCTTGTGTTTGTGGCCCGTCAGCCGCCGTTCGTCTACATCTATCTAGAGACGCTCGTGCACCATTGTAAGCTCGCCATGCAAATATAAGTCTACGTATAACGATAGCCAAGCGATGGCGACCGACACGTATGCAGCTTCTGCCTCTACCGCTCATGACGGTTCTGCTTCTCGGAGAGGTATGCACCGCCGTAATAATAGCAGGTGTGTTCGCGTTCTCGGTATTCTTACCGTTTTTCGCCTCTTGCTTTCCTCTCCGTCTTGATTCCCAAGATGTTATCGTTGTCATGGCCCAGTCTGCACTTGGTCTACTTCGGGTTCGCATGCTCACCCTTTTGCCCACCCAGCCACAACCAGCAGCGCCCACAGATAGTGGAGCACAAAGAAGCTGAATGCAGATGACGCACGTACAGTGCGTTCTGAGCCATCTCGGGGTTCTTTCGGCGGCCTTCTTTCTTGGCGTTGCGCTTGCTTACTGCTCTGCTGTTTAGATCTGGCCTCCTACCGTCCTTCCAACCATTTTCTGCGGTCATGACAGCGCAATGATCTGCGTATCTGGTCTATCGTTATCATAACATTATCCATGCGGCGCCGGCGACAACGGCCAAGCAATGTTACGAAGCTTTACAGAATGTCGTGGACCGAGCCGAGGGTGAAACAACGACGATATTGATATATTCTTATTATCGGGACGATACAATATCATTATGTGTTTTTTTTTAGTTCGACCGGTCGTCGGGAATCGATGACAATATAATGATACTGCTCGGCATACATATTCCTATCTGCTTCATATGCGGTAGCACTAGATTTGCTCGCTTGACAGGAGAACCTAGAACAAGGCATGAAACAGGCATACATACGCCTGGTGATTTCCGTGCGCAAGTAGAGGGTATCTAATGCTCTATATTCATGTTTCATAAAGAAATGTGTATTGAAGTTCACACAGATCGGTCCTCGTTTTAGAATGGCGTACAGGATCAGAACAATTGAAGTACAGCCTCTAGAAGCAGCACAGTTTGACTTAACTTAATATACACAACTTATTTAAATATTTACCTACTAACTAACGAACCGAGTGACAACAACAATAATAATTAATATTACATCGGTCATCAGTTGATGGAAGAGCGTATGTTCAGCTTTATCGGAGAGTTTTTTTCTTCGACACAATTTTCACACGAGCTTTCCAGCCGGCCTTTTTCATTGCCTACGGTTTAATTATCGGGTGCAAGCATTGACTAACAAGAGCAGATAGAACCTTTATATTATCAATAAGGCAGAAAATGAAATCTAGCTGTCAGCGCTTGATCCATATAAAAAAAAAGTCGGCCGTAAATGTAGGTACGATATACGAAGCCATCGATGTTTGCTAAACAAAAAACAATGGTGGTGGCCCCACTGATCATAGATTGAGTGTACACGACAGCTCGTACTCGACAGTCAGTATCACCCGCCGTCCAGTATCTATTTCTATTATCAATATCGTAGGCGCAGCTAAACTGATTACCATAGTGACGCGAAGCGGGGCTTTGCCCTCGCACGTCTGTAGGTATTCAATCGTACGAAGACAATAACGAAGTCAATGATAATCGGCTTCTGTGTACATGTATGAGTAACATTCAGTATTATCACTAGCCTATATTTTTGTTTTTCCCTACCATATAATATCATAATTACTAATAAAATCTTATATCAATCTATAGAACCTACATAACGTGTAGCAAAACAAAATGACAACGTAATAATAGTGACACCTTTCAACGTCAAAGCAGTACTATAATATTCAAGGTAGATAATGTGCTAAAAGACACGTACTAGCGATACCACTCAGAAAAAAACTTCAACATGCTCCTTATACCCGTCATTGTCAAACGGAATAGTATATGTCTCAGATTAAGCCTCGGAAGCAGGCCATTTAACGTAATTGCCGAGATCACTATAAATCTAGTATAATTAAAAACCATAATAATAAAGAAAATTTAATCGATAATAAGCGGTGTTCGATGGTGGCGAAGAATACGGGAAAGCCCTGCGTATATATTCTTTGCTGTTCGAGCCTGGTTGCTTTGAAGGCTACAATCACTTGCACTAATAAACTACATGTTTATAAACTGTGAATGCCTCTCTTATTAGCTCCAATTTGCCCCTTTATCCTGTCACCCACCGTTCATGCAGACTGCAATACGCTAGGGTTAGCTTCTGTATGCATCCATTTCGACCGGTACACCGACCTTGGCGCGAAGAAGATCGAAATCCTTCATCGTATTTACGAGAGCATGCACATATCAGGCACGTCAACGGTACCGTTTATCTTAGTGATTTAAATCACACACACACACACACACATTTTTTTTGTTTGAAACAGTGCAGGTAAAACACTACTAAAGTGTTTTTAGTTTTTTACGACACGATGCGAGGCAAACCGGTCGATTCAAAAATTTTCTCTTATATAGATAAGAGTTATTTAGCTTGACAGTATATAAGCTCGCTTATAATGGCAACACAAATAGCATCTGGCGTATCCTGTTCTACTTAAATGAATCTCTTACGCTTGCCGTTCTATGGTCCGTCGTTCGATGATTCACACCTTTTTTCCAATAAGCAACTACCGAACCGAATCAGTAATGTAGAGTGATTTCGGATACGTAAAGCATCCGAACACATCACATTACTGATGAATTTAAAAATAACAGGGGCCGCGGCGAAACTCAATGAAATATAAACAATCGCTTACAATCGTAGCAGACGCATGAACTTTATCATAAAGTATTTCCCTGGTTTCAGTTAATTCGGTCACGATTTGAGTTGATCCGGAACCTACAATGTTCACACATCGGTTGTATGTTAACAAAACCGCTGTGTGTGGCTCAGAGATGGGAGGGAGTATTCCTTCTTGACAGCTCCTTAGCACGTTCTCTACGTAAGTCTATTAATACTAATGAATGTTGGATGATACTACCATTGAAGCATACAAACGCTTGCATATATAATGCTAATGGCTGCTAGTAAATAAATATGTTCGTTATATGGTCTAGTCTGACCAATGAGACTAGTCGTAGGTCAGGCTCATAAGAGTTGGTTAATAATTGGCGTCTTTGCCCTTAATGGAGCCGCCACTGCCCGTTCTGGCGCAACGGGCAGAATGCGAAACAGACAAGGAATAAACAGCGAGACTCGTCCCAGCCTTTTCCTCGTCTATTGCTGATGGACATTGACTGTAAGGAGACGAAAACTAAAGTAGACCTTGACTTCTGTTTTGACAAGCTCACAGTTAGTTTAAGAGAAGAGATTCTATATCTGATTAAAGTCATCGTATCATTGGCGCAAATACACCCCTATGCAGGCCCTCCTCTGATCATGCAGGTTCGCTCTGTATGACAAGAAGCGTGCCTAAACGTTGCACGTGGATATGACAGTGCCAAATGGCTAGTCGAGGTAAAGTTTGAGATTGATCAGTCGAATGATAATGATCGAGTCGAGATTGATGGCGGGTACTCACTCCTTTGAAGTTGTTGTTGTTGTTGAAGCATGAGGGCTGCTTGTGCGGCAGTGATGTTGGCTGGAGCTGAACCGTTTAGCAACGGGCCTGTGCTTGTCGTACCCGTACAGGCCACCGTCGTGATAGCAGTTGTCTGTGGCTGCTGCTGTTGTTGACTATTGTTGTTGTTGTTATTATTGTTAGATGATGAGCCAGTTGAACTGAGGGCTGTCAACTCGCTTTCATTCGCGTACGTTCCATCATCATCAGAGTTTGTACCTGGATAAGCGCCGGCAATATTCTTTATTTATCGAGTCTTGTGAAACACAATCGTGCATAAAACTGTTTTCATTGTAAATTTTCCAATAGAATCACTACAGCTTATGGCTCGTAGTATGGAAATCACATTTTAGCTAGCAGAATAGCGGTACACAAATGCCAATATCTCATAATGATCGATCAATTAACCTTAAGGCGTGGCCTAATTCGACAATACAAATAGAACGATCTCGCTTGCGCCTCTGATAGATAGATAGAGTAGAAGAAAGTGCGAACCATATCAGTATGATGTTGGTAGTAAGGCGCATCCAAGGCTGTTCCAGAGTTTCTGTCATCTGTCAAGACAGGAAAAGGTTTTTCTCTTCGATTGGTCTAAATAGAACAGAACGAACATCGTTTCGTCGCTGCGTAGTTAACATAGCGACGGCCGTGCCGCTGTATGGTATCATCATAATTTGTGTGTTATATTATTAACTACGTCACTAGCACGACTGAAACATGACAAGAGCTAAATATAGCCATGTCGGTCTAGAGAGAAAGACAAAAAGACAAACCTGAACTGCCTGTTCCATTGGATTTTCTCGTAATGATCTGATTATGGCAGGCATTTGGTTGTTGTTGTTGTCCGGCTAGAGAAGTAGCGTTACCGGGTGGTCCCCCGCCCTGTTGGTGGGCTGTGTAGCGCTGTGATCCCGCCAACGATGAAACGAGACTCCCCAGAGCCACCCCCTGGCCATGTAGTCCCCCATAGCCGCCCTGGCTACCTCCGAGAGGGATGCCGCCACTAGTGTGGCCGCTGTGTCCTCCTCCTACTGCAGTGTTTACGCTGCTTCCAACAACGTTGGGCTGCCAGGGACCAGGCGGTGGATTGGCCTGCTCGTAAATATTGCTTCCGTCATCGGTTAGCTCTTCAGCCGACAGCTCATCAGTGGCAGTGTGAGGGTATCCTGTCTGCGGGGAGTGCAGACCACCGTTACCACCACCACCACTGCCGCCGCCGCCGCCTCCTCCTCCTCCTCCTCCTCCTCCTCCTCCTCCTCCTCCCCCTCCTCCAGCCGCGTAGAAGGCTGCTGCGCCGGCGTTTGTCCCACCCCCACCCCCGGCCCCACCACCACGTCGGCACGCCACCGTGGATATACCTGGAACGAAACACAAAACATCAGAGAGGTGCCCATAAAGCAGACAAAACAATAATAACAACAACAACCCGTGTCGTACACCCCGAGGCTACCGTTATTTTAACGTACAAATAATGAGAGATATACGTATATACCTATCCTTCTCCTTAAACATACAACATCCATATCGCAAACCACGGAGATCACTATGCTACCCCCACCGCTAGCGAGGTGATTAGAAAGTATATTGTTATGTATGATTACTGTTGTTCTTTTCTTTTCTGTTATATTATCGGTGAATAATAGAATGGTTCCCCGGTAGCCCGACAAAACAATGTTAGTAATACTACTATTATGATTAAAAAATACAAGGTGCGTTTTTCTCATTTAAACGGCATATATGTGAGTAAATAACTGGGGCTAAGATTTAGACTGCCTGGCTTTTTTTTTGGCATGTTCGTAAATCATGAGTTTGCCAGCCTTCTCCGTGAATAGATCTGGCTAACTAGTTGGTATATTTCGCTAAATGAAAGAATTTACTCTTTGATTTAATCTTTTTTCTTTTGCAAAAGACAGTCTTGAAGCTGCGAAGGATATATCAACATGTGGGATCAAAGAGTCATCCACACGAGTATCAGCAGGATGAGTAACAGTGATGCTATCATACTGTAATCACAACGTAATAATCGTCCATGCGTATGTACGGCTCTGTGCGTCCTTGTTTGTCACGTTTGTCGACGGCTTGTATACCTCTACATCTCAGGTGATCGCTGTGCTTCAAGATTTAGACAAGCGATTTCTGGAGGCGATGCAGCGACATGACAACGCATGTCCACATACAGAGGATGCGGGTCGAATAGGGAAGCCCGTTTGCTTTCTCAGGGGCGAAGCAGCGACCTGGGGCAATGCTCCACAGCGCAATGCCATGAGCGCTGGCAATATTGCCTTCGCGCCTGCCTGTCTGTCTGTATGTCTGTTTGTCTGTCTGTTTCCACATGTTTTATCCTGTTTTTCTTTTTTTCTCATTAGCTGGCTACGTACTCTCGCAGTTTGTCGAAAGTAGAAAGCGGGCCATAGCCCTTGTGGCATTGGCAATAGCCTTTTACTTCATCTCGAACAGGCAATATTGAAACGATGGAAAAACCTGATCTAGCTAAAATAATATAATTTGTTACATAGATCTTTTTAGTTTGTCGGTGAGAAGATGCATGCTTTTCGTATCGCGTATTCAATTTGTATTTAAACAGAGTATTTGGAGACAGTGTGCGCGAAAGCACATAGCTATCTATGGGAAAAGCGTATCTCAGTCACACGTTAACCCTAATTAGACGCGATAAAAATGCTCTGATATATAGATATAGGTGTTTTAATGATGTCACGTCTTGAGTCACGTTATGAAGCCGATTTTGTGCAGCAACTACCCGCTTAGTTCGTCTTCTAACTACAAAGAGTAGCATAGAATTAAATGTTCTATTTAGATGAGAATCCAACAGCTACGTCGAAGGCATAATTCCGTACGCATCCAAACCTATTACTTTTTCAGTCACCCGTAGAGTGTGCTTCTTCGGATGACATAATCCATTTCGGTATCGAGCTTAGCTCAATGAGGAGAAAAGCCTTAATTGATCTATAGTGCATTATCAAATGATACAAGAGCTCCATTGGGATGTGCTTATTCTTAATACGAACAGCTGCGTATCGAGGACCAATATCGCTGTCGTTAGTACTCAACCTTGTCTGGCAAAAAATAGGTGTTCTACAGACAACCGTGTACATCTGAGCGCAAGGTATTAGAATGTATATATGCGACCAAAAAGCATAAATAATACTGAAATGAATCATTTATTTCTACCACATAGAGAATACAATTTATTATATTTAATAACGACATGTTAGAAAGTTGCTGGTATTTATTTATGCCTTTAGTTTTCACTCCCGAGGAACTTCCGTGTCAACGGTGCTAAGGGGCTATAAGGTTTGTGACAAGAGGAGGACAACTGTTTGAAGAAGTGTCACTACACGCACGATCTCATATAACTGCGTAAGCACGCGCAATGAAGATAAAGAAAAACACAGTGCGGTAGCTAGGGGTCGAACCCGCGGCTTTGACTCACAACCCGCTAGCCATCCCGAAACCGCCGTAGTTCAACTATTATTTTAGTAGCAAATTGAATATTATTATGGAGTGCAGGAAAAAGTGCGAGATGATCGTGGGTGCCTATTTTATCACAAAGTATTGTCATTGTCATAGATGCCCCATGACCTCATCAGATTGCCGCGTCATGGACAACGCTAATCGAGAATGTAGCTAGCGAAAACTAACCAGTAGAATAGAGAAAGGAAGATAGGGATTTAATGTTATACACTTCATAGACAACCTTTTCTCAGCGAGTTCTCAGCGAAGCAAAAAAACAACAGCAGAAGCAATCTGAAGCAATACTCGCCTAAATGACACATAATTAAATATTTCAATTTCACGTCAGATACTGTCATTAAGAACTGCCTCACGGAACAAGTGATGCCCACTTTGCCTGAAATGAGTACTAAATGAGCGGCGAGGCATACGCGCACCTTTTATAACGTCTAGCCATTCTGTATGAGCACGGAAAAAGTAAGACAATGCTATACGGGCACACCGAAGCAACGAAACAGTTGGTTTTCTTCGTAGCGCAAAACGTACGTCATCAGTGAATTAAATGAGGGAACAAGCTACGTTATGTAATGCGTAGTTTTAATCATCGGGATCTGAATGAGTCAACCCTGATCTTAGTCATTTTGACTATGCATTGAATTACTCATTTTAAATATAGATTGTTCTTAAATAGTGGCTACTTTTTGATGAATCACGAATTTTGACAAGCGTAACAGATCAATGTTGTCCTGGTGCAGCCTATGTCTCAGGTCATCTAGATATGACACACGCTGCAAAAAGCTGCTGGCAGACGCTAATTTATTGTTTATTTGTACAGAGCACAAGCTAACTGTTCATTAACCAGATATTAAGGTAATAAGGCGAGCCAAACAAGTCGACGAACGCTTATTTACTGCTCCTGCCTCCCCGAAAATAAATGCCCTTTTTCCCTGTGTGCCTAGTTCACATGGCCAGACCTTATCTATGAGGTTCAAACAACTGTTACTAGAATGTCGTATGCCATCAGAGTGAAACATCTGAAGGTTTCTAAAGTCAAATGCACAAGCATGACTGTCATCTGAAGTATCGGAATATTCGGGATTCGCTTTATAATCTAAAACATTTGAATGCTATGGAAGATTAAACGGGGTACCAATTTTGAGACCGCTATCTTCTGTGATAGCGTCTAGCTTTTTGAGTCGACAGTTACATTCAGAATATGGAGTGATTCTGTTTAGTCAGAAAGGGTACACACACCATAGCGGCAGTGTGTGAAGGGGAACCGTTTGCCGAATTGATCCGCACTCACAAAGTGTCGGCACGAATTTTGCAGATAGTTATTTCCGCACACTTTTACAATGCTTTTTCGGAGCACCATTTAACGGTGGTGCTCCGTTCCCATATCTGATAGTTCAGTTTTGTTTCTCAATTCAGCGCAATTCTACGCGCGTATGTGTCTGTCTGTCTGTATGAGTCTGCGATCATCATTTACGAACAGTGGAAAAGATCTGTCGCTTTCAGATTTGCCGCTGGCTTAGCCCCCACCGCATACATACATCTCGTCTGCCCATACGGCTTTGCCACCTCGGATCGACAGCAGGATTGTCTCTGTCTGCCGCTTCATTCAACAGAACGCGACTACTAATATTTTGGTGCGTACTTGCTGCGTCTCTACGTTAGCTGCTGCGTAACGCAAAAACCACGAACTGTCACGACTCGGACTTGATATCTGTTCCAGTCATTCGTCATTCGCTTCTAGATTTTTGCCACTCGTTCTCATGGCTTTTCTTTGCCAGCTATCGCTCGCTTCTTATCTCAAGCCAACACAACCGGCAAAGACAACGGCCATATCAGCAAATGCGGCTTCCTCTTGCCTAGCTGTCGATTTGCGCAAAAGCAGACGAAAAGGAAATAACTAAGCAAATAGAAAAACAGACAGCGCGGCAAATTTTTGTAGCCTGGCTGCCTAGCATCATGTCATAGCCATAACTGTGATGGAACAAAAAGACCCCATCGACCCCTCGAGCGGGAGATTCACCACAGTGACTCAGACTGCGATGCTGATGTTGATGCTGATGCTGATGATAATAATAACAATGATGCCGAGGAGAAGAAATGTAAGAAAGAGAATATATGAGCTTCTGTATACCCCGTGTCTAGTAAATTAAACTCTTGTTGTGGTCGGAGGACAATGCTAGTACTGACCTATAAGCTGCGTAGACCACGTCAGTAAGATCGTACGTGTTCAGAGGAAATGATGGCGCATGTCCAAATGACGAACTACATTATTTGTGGTATTGACAAAGCGTTGCTTTGTTTAGTTAGATAAATATGCGTACGTGCAGGAAAATGCTCACTTCGTCGTAGATGACAACTGCAGCGCTATCAGTCGAGGAAGTAATGACAAGATGTAATACAAGAGCCAAAAAAAGGTCTGGGAGATGTTCTAGGGGAAGCGTGTAAGCAGAAATGGTCTGTAGTAGCTTCGTGTCGCCGTTTGCTGACTCTACCGTCTGTTCCCTTCCGCAGATTCGTCTTGTGAGAAGATGGTTTACTTTGCGTTCGGCGAGCTCACGTTGACATTGTTAGAAGTTCTGATAAAGTTCTCGTGTGAAAAATGATTAGTAGATCTTCTTCTGCATCAGCCATCATTTTTTCGAATTTTTTTAGTAATGGCGCTAATGTCA